GGTCCATTCACAAAAAAAATATTCTTCATAAATTAACGGAATTTTTTATTTGTTTTCCAACGATTGTTCAAGTAATTTAATAATATTTGAAACATTCAGGTTGGGTAATGTATGGTATTTAACTAGATTTCAACTTATTCTTGTAATAGATAATGTTCCTGAGAAAACTAACTACTCTTTTCGACAGGTATAAAAACCACTGAAACTCACCCTAGATCGTTATCTTGACTTTCACGTTATATTCCCAGACTTTGGAAAAGAAAAAAGAATTATCGACAAAGGGATGACTTTTACGGAGTGCTTCCGTAATTTTTTCATTCAAAACGATATTTTCAATTCAACCAAAACTACGCCAGAAAAATTTCTCTGACGCCAGCTATACACAACAATTTTTCTTTATAGTTTTCTACAATTTTTTCTCTAGTTGGAATTTTTTTTCTCAAGAATCTTCATTTTCTTTTCTTATCCTTTTTACAAAAAACGATTAGACGTTGAGAGAATGGAAATGCGATGCAAATATCCAATTAAGTTAAAACGAATATAAAATATAATTCTACAACATTCTTCATTATTTTTACTTCTGTTTTACTTTTTTTTTCTGTATTATTATTTCTCGTTATGATATTTTTATAATCAAGATGATCAAAAGAAAAAAGATCTATCGTACTAAATAATTGGCGAAAAAAGCATCTTATAACAATGATAATAATAATAACAATAATAGTAACAACAAAAACAAATAGTAATGAAAAATTTTTGTATTTTATTATTAAAAATTTCCAAATGATTTTTTTAATCAGTACAAACAATACACATTGGAATAAATTACTCTGTCTACAGCTTTTATGTACCTAATTTCCAATTTTATTACTAATTAAAATTCTTTTATTGTCACTAACAAATTTATTAATTAATAGTTTACACTGAATACTTTTTTCCATACTGAAATATCATTACTTGTTTTATTTTCCATTATGCATTAAAATTAATCATTCACTGAAAAAATATAATGATAAATTTTTTATCATAAATGCAATGAACTTCAATAAGAGCATTCGTTAAACATAAATCATACAATACTTTAAATTTACAATTTTTATTTTCCCTAATGATGAAAATAATTGGATATATTTTTACATTGTTTGAAAACTAAAGGAAATTCAGCTAAATCGTTATTATAATTGAAGTTAACAACAAGCAAAAATTTTGATAAAGTTTTATAACATTTTGGATGATTTAGAGGATATTCAGCATCCATAAATTCAACTTTGAAACTACTATCCACTGTCGAAAATACCTAGTCTGTTTCTTGGACTTTAACCTTCACATATATAAGCCCCTATCTATTTCTGCACAAACGGTTAGATAATTACTAAACCCTCCTATCTATTCCAACATATTTATGCAAAAAATAAGTTACTATTTAGTATAATAACCTCTAATAAATATCATTTATCTCAAAATTTCTCCAAACAATGGATAATTCCAAAACTATGTGAAAAATCGTGCTGTTGGATTAATGAATGATATCACCATGAACCAACTGAGGAATTAGGAACAAAGTATGAGGAATAATACAGCAGATAATACAGAAAAATAATTGTTAAAATAATCAGTTTTAACAAAGATAACTGAAGAGTCCAGTGGAAGCTGAATGTTATCACATTTGTCATTATGTTGAAGGAGCTTTCATATTTTACAGGGCATTAAGTGTCTACTTTCAATTCTCACTTCCATTACGCAGATTTCGACACACTCTCTACATCACTGAGTATCCTTTGTGCTTTTATTCATATGGTGCCATAGAAAAAAAAATAGAGCATACATTTTCCGAAGTAGCTTTGAATGATTTCACCTACGAGTCTAGCTTTATCTCTTTCCACTGACTATATTTTCCTGGTAGTTTTATATACTGATTCCATTTTCTATTCGATTAGAACAAGTACTGATTATTTTGTTTATAAATAAAATTCATCAGCAACCTATTAAATATTAACTTATTGATAAAAAAAGTAAAACAATGAGAGTATTGCAAAGCATTGATGATCATTCTTTGATTCACTTTTGATTGAACTTTACATAGTTGATCACATTGATGACTTCACAAAATTATTAAACCTAATTCAGTTTAAAAGTTATATTATGAAACCGGTAATTATTTATTCTCGGATAAAATTCAAAATTCAAATTAAACTTCAATTGCTCTCCAAATGTGCACCCTATTTTTTGGCTTAATTAAATTTATAATTATCAAGCTACAAAGAAGTCACTTTGGGAAATATGAAGTGGTGGAATCATTGATTGAAGTTTCACTTCATATAATTTATTATCAATATTAGTTTAAAGCAAATGATATTAAAAAATTTGTTAAAAGTTGTTCTCAATGCTCTACATCATCAAATTAAAGAAAAAATGATTATAATGAAAATGGATATTTACTTTCTTCCAATTCTTTTCCAATAAATGTGAAATAACTTCATATGTTCATCTTTGATTGTTTGGAATTAAAATAGAGCTTTAGCAGCTATTTCAGAGCAAAGTTAATTATTTTTCAATATCAATCGCTATGCATTCAAAGCAACCTTTGACATTTAAAAGCAATAATACATCTAGAGTAAAAATATACTTCTTCATCCTCATTGAAATTGATTCATTACCCACGAGTTGTCCATAAAAGAACATGAAAGCTAGTATCAGTTTTACATATAACCTTCAGTGATGATACTATACTGAGCAACCTTCAAACTTGGAACGAATAAACTTCATGGATGCATTGACGAAAGTTCAAAGGGCCTGGCTGCGGTAGTAGAAGATAGCATGTATTCACACCTCTTTGATGTCATTTTGTGTCACTTATAGACATTTTAGAGATCACTTCTAAACTTGATATTCTTTTTCTTCTCACCATCTAACTTTCCTCTCATATTTTCCTCATCCAACCTAAAATATTACGTAATACACAAGCACACCCAATCAATATTTAATGTTAAAAGCTTCAGCAAAGAAACATTTCAAGTATGAATATTATGCGTAAGTTTTTTCCAGACGTTAAAAAATATGAATGACATTGGCTACTATCCAAGTGCTAAAAACCAGCGAAACTATCCAAAGACATTTCTTCTCGCTTTCCTACATGACTTGTGACTCTATAAATAACTTTTCCCCACTTTTTTTTATCTTCAATATACTTTTATTCCTTTTCTGATACTTCTCCATGCTGATGTCAAGTTAATTTCTTCTTTAATTAATCAAAAAACATTGAAAAAAGGGCAAACTTTTTTTCAACTCAGCTCATAGATTGATTTTCTTCTGGTTATGTTTGGTAAAATTTTTTTTATTCGCTCGTGAAATATTAGAAGAGTGAAGCTAGAGTAAAAAAAACTGCAAACTCGCTATGTATATGGATCTTGTATCCCTTTCATTATAGAATTAATTAAAGCCAACCATAGCAACCGTGTGCGTGGCACGCGAGATCACTCGAGTATGAAATCACGAGGCTTATAGCCATATCGCGAATCAGCGCATCAACACCTTGTTAAATTTTGGGCGGTCCTGAACGAGATATCTAAGCTCGAAATCTCCATTCTTCATAGACTGCTTCATGTATAAAGGCATCAACATCATCATAGAAGAATAAATACCTAAATGCAAATATTAACTAAAAGAATGATTTATCTTGCTTTAACATAGTCTCTTATTGATTGTATATTCCTAGCTGATGGCACAATGATTTATTTTTGGTAATTAAAAAATGATTTAATTGGAATTCATCTACCCTCTTTAGTGTCATAGGTGGAGATATCCTAGAAGCAGTTTCTGCTGAGATAACCAAGCTTGTATGCAAAGTGGCTTGAATAATAATTAAATAACAATTTTGTTTGTGAGAAATTCCATAAACTATTCATCGTGTTATCACAGAGAATTTTAATATAAAACAAACTAATGACAATTCATTAGAGAAGTTATGACAAACATTCTGCAAGTATGTTATGAAAACATCCAACAGCAGATGAATCCTTTTTGAACATCAACATTCCTAGGTGTTATCTCTAGCAATTTTATAGAATTATTATATAAATAGCCTTTTTTATAAATGTATGTAGGTTAAAAGGACTGATATTAGAGTGAAAAAAAATTTATCTTTTTCTTTGCGGATGCTGCTCTGAGGTATTTGTTCAGAATGATGAAAGATTAGAATGGGCGTTTCTCGTTAATCAAAAGTAATTATATAGACCGGTTTATTTTTTAATTTATTGATAAAACTTCTATACCACTCTATCTATTCTGATCAATTATTTTATTTATTTTTCATTTGATCTTTATATCTTGTCTTGCTTATTCTTCCTGACTTTTTCTGTATCTGAAGGATTTCTTCAACTAATAATACATCACTAAATAATTATTTAATATTTTCTGGCTAAGTCGAAGCTACTTTTTGTTTCTAAAACATGAAAGTGTCTGTTTCGAAGCCAACTGAAAGAACAATTAAATTGAATTCACCTGGTGGTGGCATGAATTCAGTATTGGCGCATGCAATTCCTTTCACGTCACTCGCATAGTACAAGCGCGAATGAAGAATGGAATTGAATCTCACCAAAATTGACGTTTCAACGTTAACCGCCTTGTACCACTTTATTTTTTCACAAAGAACATTTTTATGTTTCATATGATTGAGAATGAAAATAATCTTACTAATTTTATTTATAAATATTTTCAAGAAAATATTGATGGACAGTCCAATAAAATAACTGAGATTATTGGTAATAATTTTTTATTTTAAAAAAAAAACATTTCAATATAGAACAAAGTTGATTTACATTTTTTTTTTTCTTGAAGAATCAATCAAATTAATAATCAAAATGAATAGACAATCAAAATGTGAAGTATTTTTTGATTAATGTCTGTGTGAGTTTAACATCAATAAATAATATTTTCCATTAAATTCAAAGCATTGACAAAACTATTTTCAATAAGACAAATAATGAAAATGAATTTGCTTTCAGACGTGCCTCTTGCTGGGTCTGGTGGTTGCTGACAACAGCACAATCAACAACTTTTCTGCGTTAACATCCACAGGACATGGAGATATTTCCACGGTGAGTAAAATTAATTAGCTAATAAATAAGTAAAACTAATTAACTAACAAAAAAAAAAGGTTATTTCAAAAGTAAACTTTTTTTAAACTAAATACTAAAATATAATATTTCAGGAAAGAAAATATTTTTTAATAAGCAAACATTTTTTTGAAATACTAACGACAAATAATCATGAAACAATTTTAATGAGAGCTTAATGAAGACATGCAAAAATAAATTCTGTACAGAAGTTTATCTTAATGAATAGGATTTATAAAAAAAAACCGTTTTAATATGTGTTATGAAATGCACTGACACATTCCAAAAATATTTTCAAGTCATTATTATACAAAGTTCTGTTTTCCTTGTCCTGCGGTATGGTGACCATTTACTTGCGACATGAAACAAGCATACATGTTTTCGCTGCAGTGCAGCAAAACGGAAATGGCCCTCGAGAACGACCACAATAAACATAAAATACTAAAGAATTTTCACCCAGATTCACTGTTAGTATATTCATAATAGTGAAGTATATTTTTTCTATACATGTATTTCCATTTGCTGGTATACTTGTGTCAAAAAGAGCCAACGTCTCTCGTGACCTGAAGAAACCAAGGTAGATCTTAAAAGTATTTCGTTTTCTCTTTCACCTTTTCTTCAAGTTTTTTTCACTCAGAGTCCTTTATTTTACTTTTTACTGTTTCTCTTTACATGTTTTATTTTTCTGTTTTGTTTTTATTTTGTTTTTTTTTAATCGTACATAGTACAAACTCGAGTGTGTTGTCAATATTTCCCTCTGGCAGAAAAGTGCCGAGTATTTTGACGTTGAATGCAGACGTGAAATCATTGTAGCGAAAGAGAGACGAAAACGGCGTGTGTGTGCTCAGCGAATTTTGTGAGTTTCCATTTATGAGCCAACGCTATTCGCCTAAAAAATGGCAAAAGTGCAAAAAGATAAAAAACGAGAGAGAACTACCAAAGTTATAAATGTATATTTTAAATTACTTTAAGTGAAAATATGTATATATGTAATTCAATTAGATTATTATTACCATTATGATTATCACATAAATTTATTATGATGAAACTAAGTAATATTTCTGCACATCAATACAAATAGGAAGTGATGGAAGTGGAGGAAGATAAATGCATTGCCACTCTACAAGCTAGAAGTAACCTTTGAACCGGTTTAGGTTCATTAGAAATTCTCATCCGATAGAAGCTTAGAAGTTCCGACAAAGCTTGTTCACATGCATAAGAGTATGAGTGAGTTTACTTGGCGTTCGTTTTAAGGAAGTTACTTGAAAAATTAATTGTACCTCAGTCAAGTATTGATGAGATAAAGCAACATAAGATAAGATACCTTCATCTTATATTTGTTGATTTTTTATTCAATTTATATAGACCAGCTGATGAAGCACCAAAAATTGTCTTATAATTAAAATTGGGATATTCCAGCAGAATTATGGGAGCAAGTCAAGTAGAGTTCTATGAACTAGAAAGAAAAATTTCAACCTCTTGTAATTGATCAAACAGATATTTTTATGAATTGAATGCTAATTTTTTGCAGTACTTCAGAGCTCTCTAGAGCTTTCATAATTTATAATTTGTTGATTAAAATAAATCAATCTTGGTATCCCTTCTTCAACATTGATGAATGATTTTGAAAGGTTATCAAGTTAAATGTAGAACACAAATTGTAGATAGTTGATGTAATTTTTAAAATAATTGTTATTCAGAATAGTAGAAAAAAAAGGTTAATTTTGTTCGTCAATATAATTTAGCTTTTTTAATTACCAACTCAATCACTGATGGAGTTTATAAACACGAGGAAGAACATTTCAATAATGAGTTAATTAACAGATCTGAATTACTTTCATTGTCAACGATAAAACTATTGTAACAGGTTTATAATTAACCGAGTAGATTTTTTAAATCCAGCTTGAAATTGATATTTGACAGTAAATTAGCACTCATCAAGTTTAATTTAATTAACTTGTAACAATTATACCTTACTGGCTCATATAAACCTCATGGCTGCAGTGTCAATTATTCCTATTGTCTTCAACCTTGATTATCTCTATTAATAATTCTGATCAATGTTCAGTAGAATAACTATTTGTTTTGTTACCATAACTAGTGAAACTTTACTCTGATTGTTTTGAAAGTATAATGATGAAAGTATTTATTAGTAAATGAGAGGTTTGAAACTATTGTAAAGCTAATAATTAATATTTATAAGAACTTGAAGGGTTTTACTCCATCAACTACTTGAAATGGATCTGCGTGCAAATCAGTACTGTTTGAGGAATCAAGCACTGCTGATATTGAAGAGGTAAATGCAAGTGAACTATATCACATTGCAAGATATCTGCACGCAATCCAAGAGGAAACTCGTGTACATTTCCGCATGCAAAGCGTTGGCTTCCTCTCTAGTAACTTTGCCCTCCCATATGAGCAGAGACTTCCATCCCTGGAGTGTATCAACGTAGTAAAGCGCAGCAGCCACGAGTTGTCTTTCCATGTTAAGTCGCTTTTCTTGGATTTTATCAAGGCACTTCCGTTACGGAAAGTATACTTTGCTGTTTTCCATCGTGAATATCAATATCCTCTCCTATCCTTGAGTTTCTAAGCTTCAACACTGATTGCACATAACCGTCTCTCTCTATCCAAGCCTTTCTACTTGCCTTTGGTGATACCTATAGACCTCCCAGTAGAAGCATAAAACTAACTTTACCAATACCGAAGACTCTCACAAATCTGCATTCTATTTCGCAACAATACAACTAACTTAGAGGTCTCTAGAAACGTTAGAAGACGACTAAAAGTAGAGAAATACGTATATAGATATACATATAGCAAGCCATGTATTATTGTGACACATCTGTATTCTAAAGCTCCTATTTTTCTTAGCAACAATGAAATTTATTCGGCTGTTGGGAACTCTGCGAATGTATTAGAGAGAATCAATATCCTTAACTTCACTTCGATCACACTATATGTAGCTTTAATACTTTGCAGACTTTGAAGTGCTAGTTTCCGCTTCAAACCTTTGTCAAGAACTCAACATCTCCTGAGTCTTTCCACATTTTCTTCTTCATATTCTCCCTTCCTCTTTTTACCCCGCTCACAAAGTACCACTTTTTCCAGTTACCTCAACTGTTCCGCTAGATAACGACGCAAATGAAGAACCTAAGTACCTAAAGTTGACCCAACTACCCTAAGAACTTTTCGTAATTAGATGATTTCACAGCTGAAGAAATTTTTATTTTTAGTTTCAATGGTTAAGGGTAAGATGATTTAAGTTAAGATATACTACTTTTCTTGATGGTTATATCAGCCTTTTTGTTGCATAAACGAAACTGCTATTGACAGTTTAACTGTATTCAAGAATATTATTTTTACTTTAAAAGGTTTTATAGCTTTTAAAATATAACAATAAATTTTTTAAGACGATATTGATTCATGAAATTTATACCTCAGATTGGAAAATTTTATAAAACTTTTTTCTAAAAATAAAAATAGCAAAAGGTCAGTTATCATTTTTATCTCAAATATTGATAATAACATCTTGATTTTAAGATTCATAAATCATTTAAATTGAATCTCCAATTGTTAAAGATACTCTATTTCTATCAAATTAATATTTTCTTGATGATTAAATTGCTAATAAATATTGCAGAATATTCTTTACAAATTTATTCAAAGCAATACATAACAATACCAGACCTTCAGGTAATTAAATAGTGAATTACTACTTCACCTCTTTTATGTATTGTGTCTGAAAATAACAACTTTGATAGCTCCAATAACACTGAGGTACAAAATAAATACTTTTTGCTACTCAGAAATAAAGTAGATATTTTATGGTCTTTACAATCTTTATTTCTGAAAAATAGAAATAAATTCGTCAATGACTTCATTTTATTACACTTATAGAATAAAAAAAAAGAGCCCAACATAACTGTTTTAAATCCTCCTAATTAATTAATACTCTCTTTTTAAATGATAAACTCATTCCAACAAAAAGCCATCCTCTTTGCATCTGTGAAATCTGAAGAATGTTTGAAGAAACTTTAGCTCGATTGCAACTCTTTCTTGGAGACGGTTGCATTTAAAGTGAAATAAATAGTCCTACAGAAGCAATTTAAAGCTAAATAATCCAAGAGTTATCTATAGGTTATCAAGTCATTCTTTACTTAGAAAAAACATTGTGAAGTTAACTTGAAGATAAGTTTATTTAAATTGCATTTACTAGATAGCTAGATAATATGATAAAAAATGTATTTTTTTAACATTTAAATGATCATTTACTGTTATTGAATCTCTTAAAATTTAATTAAGTGTCATTCAAAGTGAAGTATATTAATCTTACCCTCAATTGAGGCCCTGAATGTGTTCAAGTTTGATTGACAGATTTCTTGTCATATAATGAAAGAGTTAATAATAGCTTGACAAAATAAACTTCACTTCATTTTTTTATTACTTGCATTTCACAGTTGAATTTTATTTTCACAGCTGACAGACCATTTTATTATCCATCCATCTACTCATCATTTGAAATAATAAATGGTTATATTCTCAAGAGAATCTTTTTTATTTCACAAAGGTGTCAAATGATATAGTTTAGATGAGGGTAAATTTACTGAATGATAAAAAATAAAAGACATCAAACAAAAATCTCAAATTATGTTATATAAAATATTCTCTGAATCATGTTGCAGTTAACGTCAAGCTCTTTTCATTTTATACACCATTTCTCGTTTATTCTGGATAAAAATTTGTATTTTATGTTTAGACGAAAGTAACAAAGAACCAGACATAAAATCTATAACGTCTGGTTGTAATAGCATTGTGCTGGATATTCGATCGTATATATAAGGAGTAGAAGAGAGCAAGTGCGAAATGTCTATTCGTTTTATTGGCCCAAGTCGCAGTTTCTACGTCCATTATGCTACGAGTTATACGATCATCTAGAGTACACATTAAAGAAACTCAGGATTTTCATTGGACCCCACGAT